TGCACCTCCTGTTTTTCATTTTGATCAGACACATATTTAGGTTTCCCATAGCAAAACATGGACACTGCCATTCTTTCTATAATGTTGGGGTTACCCGTTTCTTATCCGCAACTCCTTCTTATCCACTGAATAAAATTTAGTGAAACTTTCAGAATCTTTATTACATGCACATAGTGTCATTGTGCACCTCCTATTTTGCATTTCGGTCAGACACATATTTAGGGTATCCCATAACAAAACATGGACATTGCCATTGTTTCTATAAAAATAGGGGTACTAGCTCATCTCTTATCCCCAACTCCTCCTAACCACTGAATAAAATTTAATGAGACTTTTATAGAATCTAAAGTACATATTGTGCCATTGTGCACCTCTTGTTTTACATTTCGATTGGACATATATATTGGGGTCTTCATAGCAAAACATTATACATGTACTCATATGGGAGCGGGGTATCATTTTGTAACATTAGTGCTCACAGTATCTCTAGTTCGTTCCTGTGTTACGGCAATTAATGAATATAACGTGAAGCAATGATGTGCCAATAGTGTATTTTCATGGTTTAGAAATAACTTCTCTAAATAAATCATTATATTATGAAGCAGAATAAATTCACTGCTGAATAAAATGATGTTTCTCTCGGTTGTGGTAAATCCTCATTTCATTCTTAGCTTCACTGAATTACTTCGACCCCATATGGAAATGGCACTCTGCATATTGACTTATGGGTGTCAGAAGTATATGTAATATCATGATTGTGCAATTTAAATATTATGGCAAAAGTTAAACAAACCTGCAGACCATCTTCTATGCAATTACATACTATACTTAAAACAGGTACTTTTTACACGTATTGATAACTTTTTTTTTAATACAATGAGAAAACCCCACTTTGATTCGTGTTGGATGCTCCAGTAACTACAGAACCGGCGTCAGTATTTAGAAACAACAAATTCAGCAACAGTTGCTTCTATTATTTCGTGGCTCTAATGACAAATCTGACAAAATAACAACGCTTTTGTCTGACAAATGATAGATCATTTTTGAAAATGAACCTTAAATTTAAAGTCTGAATACTCACTAGAATTGTAAACTTAGCTTATATTTCGCGCTCTAATACTTAATTTTCCTTTGGTGCTGTTTGTGACAGATTCTGAGACATTTTATTCACAATCCCTGATCTTTGTACGAAACATAAAAAAGTCTTTTATCTTTTTGGTCCAAGTTTGTTGGCTTTTTCAACTATGTATCAATGGTTTCTTCAATTTATTCCTATATAAGTGAGACAAAATCGCAATACAATCCTCTGATTAACTTTAAAAAAGCTAACATCCTAAAGTTCCAAACCAGATTGCTATTGCACCATAACAAACTAGAAGATATTAATTTGCATTAACAGCATATATAATTGTGATGCTTCAAGAAACTGGAAAATATCTTCTCTAAGAAGTCATGGACTCAGTTTTTATCAATTTAGTTTTACAAATAGCATGCCTACGAAATTCAGTAAAAACCGATATTTTTTGCTGCACATATGCTGCAAAATGTCCTTGGGGGAGTAATTAGTCAGAATTGAAGTAACCAAGATCCTCATTTACCAAAGGACCACACAAATTCAATAAAAAAAAGGAAGAAAAAAAGAGTTCAAAATGCGATCTGAGTTTGAATAAGGATTTGGGTTAAAACATTATTTTAATTTTTTAATGAAATACAGTGCCTGAAAATTGGCAAAATTCCTTTGTATGCATAAGTGAATTTTAACTTGTAATTTTGGTTTGATATGAAGCTCCTGGCTTGACCACTATCTCGTATCTTTGGCTTATCTATTTCATGCACATGTTGTTGTGGTCAGTGTAAAGTCAATAAGACTAATCATGAATAACGAGTAATCTAAAGCCTTGCCTTCAGTGTCTTTGGATATTCGCTCCAATTGCTATATTCGTTTTATAGAATATGTTAGAGTATGAGGTTAAATAATTTCAAAAATAAAGAAATAAATAGAATAAAATAAATATTTTGGTAAATATAATGACAAAATCATTTCAAAGGGATTCTGTTTGAAATCTTTAGGGAGAAATCGTTATACCTGTATTGGAAATAAACTATAGAGAGCAGTTTATATCCTATTTTCTTTAATTCAACTTACTTCATTGGTTACAGATCTAGTACTTCATAAGTATATAAAACAAGGCTTTTCTTTCCTTAACGTAAATAAGTGTGTTTCAGATTAAGTTTAGGAAAGAGCCGTTTCAGCTGATCTATGATCAGGACACAAACTGAAAACAAACCAAACATGTTTAGCTGTTTAATAAAGATCCGCAATATCTTAATTTTCTATGGAAAGAAATAGTTACGATGTCACTGAATCAGTTACACATTTGTTAAGTACATTATCATTAATTTCTAAAACTACTTCTGAAGAAATAAATGGTTATTGATTGTATATACTAAGCACGATTTTCAAATAACCAATTTGAATTAATTAGTCTGGACGAGAGCAAACAAATGTCTTTTAAAAGTGACATAACGTATGGTTCCCGTTTTGGCCCGGCTGATCTGTTCATTTATACAAAATGTTACCGAACACCTGAATTACTGTAATCAATTCTATATATGGCCACGGCAAGCAATAAAATTGAATTTATTGAAAATTGAATTTCGAATGAAAGTTTGGGTTTAATTTCTGGGTGTCTAGCGTCTCGTTCATTCAATCGGACCGTCTTTACTCGTATGTAAGTAACCAGATTAGGGTTTTTCAAGGGTTGACAAGTTAATGTTTGCTAACCTGGTTGAAAGGAAAATTCTAATGGTTAGAACTCGTAGATGTCTTTTCTACATTGGGATTGTATCTAGGTTCTGTTGTAAGTATTAATGATTTTTATTACATCTGCTTTGTTCTGGTAAGTGAGCGTATAGGCATGGTTCTTATTTAGAAAACATTGTGATAAAGATCATTATTAATTCATGCAAGATATATTAGTAACAATATATAAATATCCTTGGAGATATTTGCTTTTTCATGGGTCTTTTGAGTTGACGGGGAAAAAAATCTTCGGACCTTTGAGAATTTCGAATTCGTTAGTTTTTCTTTAACGTGAACGCATAATTTGCTCTCAAAAGATATCTCAGTTTATTTTTACAATGATGCATGCATAAAGGAAAAAAAGTAGAACGCCATACTGCAGTTGTCTTTCATATTTTTATTTTGTGAAATGTTATCCTAAATCTTTGGAGGCTCACACTTCTATTTGTAAATGACACCCTTACCCGATATGGTATTCTGTAATATTTTATAAAATTGCTGATGTTTATGATGATAATTTTCTTATACATTGTTGTGAACCTTGCAACAGGTGTCTGCTGCACTCGTTAATACCTCTACCTGAATTTTTTTAAAGGCTCGTAATGACATTCTTTTACCTGTGTAAACGCAGAAAGACGATCCCCCAGAATTGGATCTGGGGATTAAGCCCTCGAGTGTCAGATGGCTGGATAATTTGTAATGATGACAAATAAATAGATTAGGATCGCGAAGGTGTAAAGACCACTAAACGACATAACACTTCTGGTGTATTTTGTCGGTAATTTAAGCTGTTTGGACAGTTGATTCTGGACCGGGACCAAATCGTCCTCATCATGGCGATGTGAGAAATTATCTGTTGCTGATTTATTTTTGATCAGAAAGCTTTAGAAAATCTTTGTATGTGCGCCAAAAATAAATGAATAAATAAATGTAAGCATCCTGAAATGTCAAAGTGTTTGAAAAGCAATGTTTTATTAAATGACTGCTTTTGGTGTTGAATTACACATGCATACACACTTGTGCATGCATTTGATTCCCATTAAAAAATTTACATTACAATTCTGATACTATTTTTTTGTTTCTTTAATTTTACTTAATTTTTAATCTTCACTTATCTTTTATGTTTGTCATAAAATTTCATCTGCGCACTTGTGGCATTTATGATTTTCCCTTTGAACCAATGACAGTAAAAAAAAAAATTAAATAAGATTTAAATCATGGCAATGAAATTCAAAATTGCAAAACCCCATGGTTTTGAACTAGCAAAATGAAGATTAAATATTATATATAATCAAAAAAAAAAGTATATATAGAAATGTGGGGTAAAAAGTCCAAGCCAGTGTACGGAATGTGTATGATTTTTAAATGACGTGGCAAAAAAATATTCACAACAGTACTCTGAATTAATGTGCTATACGACACGGATATTTATTAAGTTAATAAAAGGAGGAACATTCTTTATAGAGCACTTCTTAATCTATCTATTATGCTTGAAAAATAAAACGATGAATTATGAAAATTACGACTAAAACAACATTTTTTTGGTCTAAATACTGGTTCTTGTACTTTCAGTAAACATTATTCAATTCCTTTTTTCGCCTAGCATTCGTTCTTAATTCAACTTTGCACGTCTTTCAGTGCATAATTTGAATGTACATACGGATGAAGATAAATGTGTTATCACTCGTTCGTTTTTACTCTTTTATCAATGAGCCTTTTTTCCCCTGATTGCATTAGCAAAACAAAATTATTGGCGAAGCTCACGAGCGAGTTGTGATATTTGCCTCATTAAAATTTATCAACACGAATTTTTCATTTGTGAGGATTCGCAGACGAAGAGATGATGATAAATAAAATGTTAAAAGAAAAAAAAAATGCTCAAGCGTTGTCGACCCCCGTTTTCTTTGATCCTCGGTATATAGGTATGACAACTATTTTGCATGCGTAATCGTGCGCAAAGTGCAACAATTTTTTCCCTCTTTTCTTAACGTTCTTTTGATATACGTTCAAAGATTTCAGCCAAACATTTAAATGACAGAAAACCCAGATAAAATAGACAATAAAATATATAGTTTTCGAATCTTTCAACATGTTTTATCCAAATTAATATCTCCTCTTATTGCTGAGTAAATATGACTTTTTTTCAACATACGATTTATAGGTTGTTGAAATGAAAGGAACAACCTGTCGATAAAACTATGGATCCCGCGCCAAGAAAGAGGAGGGTTTTGTAATTCGCTGATTATGTAATGAGTAATCACTGAGAGAAGAGCCCATGCAACTAAATAAATCGACAGGAAATTTCAACAGGAATTTTTTTTTCCCAAGACATTCTCTTTGCCGAGTGAACTTGCTTTGGTGTGAAAGGTAAAATCGCTGGCGTGTCCTCGTCTGATATTCTCTATTTAGCGTTATATTCAGGCAAGGTGACGTCGCATCGGGCTGATTAGAAGTTGTTTAAAAATATTTAACATAACCACATCGCGTCTAAGACCCGATGTGAGAGGAAGGGTCTAGCACGCATCGCTGAGACTCAAAAACCCAATTGGTTAAAACAGATTCGTCTGTGGTCGAAGACGAAGTGCATGAAGGAAAAAGGGAAAACGGCTTTATTTGGAGACAATGTGATTTATCTGGTAATCCAGTCGTAGGATAGGTGTAAAGAATTTCTATGTTTTTGTAGATGCAGTATGCGATTGAAAAGACATCATAAGTGATTTAAACTTATTGGATAAATATTATACGTTTGAAAACTACTACCATGTGGTTCGTTCTGTTGTTCTGTGCTTTTTTACGTTTCCCGGAGTGTTATTCATACAGTTCCAATGAAGGATACCTTCAGGATATAGATCCGGACTGGGCTATGATAAGTGGACGGATTAACCAGCCAAAATGTATCGACATTCCGTCCAATTTAACCTTATGCCAAAATCTCGGATACCATCAAATGAGACTACCGAATCTATTGGATCATGACACCATCAATGAAGCTATCCAGCAATCCAAATCATGGATATCTCTTTTGGGAGTGGAATGCCATCCCGACACCAAATTGTTCTTGTGTTCTTTGTTTTCACCAGTTTGTCTGGACAGAAAAATCTACCCGTGTCGGAGTTTGTGTAATGCAGTTAAAGCTGGCTGTGAACAAACGATGCTATTTTACAATTATAGCTGGCCAGATATGGTCCGATGTGACAAATTTCCGGAAGACTCGGATCTCTGTATACAACCATTACATAACGTGACAACAAGTGAGTATGAATTCACCAAGTAAGCTGTTGGCCTCTCTTAGTGTACAAAACATTAATTCAATGGTTGTAGAATTACATTTCAATAAAAACTTTTTCAAAAAGATATTTTGTCCAAAAAATCCTCCAAATATATATAATATATACAAATATATAGAATATATAAAAAATATAAGATCCTTTAAATAATATTTACAAGTAATTGAAACACAGCTTGTTTGTGTAACCTTTAATGTCCCCATTCTGATGGATTGTCATTTTGGAGGAGGTGGGTCCATCTGGCACTAAATCGGTCACCAGGGTGACCAGTGTGACACAAGGAATTTGTTTTACTAATGACTAGCAAATATCTTGACGTGAAAGCCGCGGTACTCTGTCCTCAGACGAGGTCATTTCGGTTCACACGACACCATACAATTTATATCAAATAGAGAGGCTACCTGGAAATTTTAATCTAGTAAGCATTTTTCAACATCTTCAACAGTCATTATGCCTTGGCAGTTTAATACTATATATATTGATCTTTCTGTAGAAAAAAAGCCCTTCATGCTATGCAGGCATGCGTTTTTATTTTTACAGCTCATCTTTAAACTTCATCAATATTTCCCTTCTTTAACCTTAATACCCGCTTATCTGGAAAGATTAATATAAGCAGACGATAGATATATAGGTAATTTCATGGTCCTCGCACAAAATTTATTTTAAAAAATATATTTCATAAACCCGACGCTCAAAATGGCGTGAGATCATAAATGGGCCACATTTAATGTTTTGAAAATCATTTTATGGTGCTTTTTTATCCAACGTCATAATAAAATCCAACAACGCGACATTTTCTTTTAAATATCCTTGCTAGGTACTCATAATTTTTCAAAGAATCATCAAAGATTCTTCTCGTTTAATTAACAATTTCAACCCAGTGAATGAAGTTATAATTATCAATTTAGTTTCTTATTATTATTATGTAACACACGTCACTTCTCTTTCAACTCCACTCTGTGAAGATCTCCTTCTTACACAATCTTTAAAGCTCTTGAAATTACTGCAAATTATGCAACCGCAGTGAAGACATTGATCTATTACTCTTCGTTAGTACTCATTAACTTCCATTTCCTCAATTTTAGAATTCTTAAAATTGTGAACAGAAAAGAAAGTGATTTACACTTTCGAATTTCTACCGAGCTTTCTCCCATTAAATGTATTTCAAATTAAGACTTCACATACTTGACTGCAGGATTCAGAAATTTGGAAAATTTTAATTAAGTTCAAGAAAACCTGGGGTTAGTGACCCCTTCTTTGAAAATTCGACGGAAAATACCCTTCCCAATGTGATTTGCATTAACCATGATACTCCTGGCATCTGTAAACTAATAGTTAAAGAAATATGTGGGAGATTCTTGTGTTATATATTCATGAATTTTAGAAGTTGTATAGGATCTTAATATTACTCCATAAAAGATATCTAAATCTAAAGGAGAAAAGTGTCATTTCATTGCGCTAACTTTAGACAAAAATAATAAAATAGCGGAAAGAAAGGTAGATCATAGTTTTATTTAGAAATAGTTGCTCTATAAACAGTTGCAAAATTATAATTCAATTTAAGATTGAATTCTGATGCAATTTATTTTTTACATTATTTTTTTTTTTGTTGGGGTGGTGTAATTCCTTACTGTAGAACACACACATTTAATTAGAATTCAACATCATTTGTCCTTTGCCCGATTTTTATCTGCTCAAACATAATCTTTAGAAATCCTGAAATAAATGGGCGAAAAAAAAATGATGACCCTCTTTTGGCGGTTACTCGTGAAATATGTTATCATATAATGCTACTGTCACAGCTTGACATAACTTGGTACGGGCCGCTTGGGGGTGTTAAACTTGTACCTATTAGATGTCAAACTACTGAACCCGAGGTATGAAATAATTAATTCTGATTGTTTCTAATGACACAAATTACAAGTACCACCGACAGACAACAACCTTAAGTAAAAATCAAATGGTTTTGTATTAATGATTTTTTTCTTCACATTTAATTAACAAACTCAGACTACTATTGGCTGAGGTTTATTATTTTTAATGTCATAAATTTTAAAATAAGCAAAGAAAATATTAGACAATTATGGTTTTAAATCCATTGTAGGGTATGCAGCTATGACGAGTCATTCATAAAGTCATATATATTTCTTTGCGGATGACATCGTTATGTGAGATTAATGACTATCATTTAACTGGAATAGACACTGTGAGAAGAACATTTTTATCTAAGTCTGACGTGTCAAAATTTGCAACTGAACCGCTCCATGAATCGCTTGTCTCACTGTAAATATCAGATTTCCCTCTGTATTTGTGTTTTGCACTTAACACGTAACGTAATCCACAATAAATTTACACAGTTTTATAAATACCTGCTAATTATGGCATGTCAATTCCATTCATCACAATAATGTGATATGCCTCTTGAAATGTATTAATAAGCCTTTAATATCCGTAGGTTAATCCCTTCCATTTACTGAAGCGGATAAAGTTGACACGTCAGGTGCCAAGAAATTATTGTATACATGTAACAAACATGGCTTGGTTTACATATACCGGACACTCATTTATCACTGCAATTCCTTATGCCATACAAATGCCTTAAAGTGCAAAAAATAAATGTCATTTATCATCTCTTTGAATGGTGGTTGAATTTTGGATCAGTTTAAGCAATTTTCCTCTTCAAAATTGTATTTTTTTTCAATAATGAACAAGTATTATAATCTATTTAGATTTCATGCATGTACAATCAACTTTTATTAAGAAGGGTGTTTATTCGCTTTCTATTGTTTCATTACAATGACGTTACAATGACGTTATGCGTTTTCGTATACAAGGGGATGGAGTTGAGGGTTAGCTTGCAATGGGTTCTTTGGATATTTTTTTAAGAGAGAGGACTTATTCTCGATGCATACGTTTCCATTGGAATGTTTGGGATATCATCTTAGCTAGATCCACTTGCAACCACAAAACGACTATATGAGGACAACAAGGTCTAAATCTGCCCTTCCTGACGTTTTTTTCCTTTTTGGCAAAGTACCTTTTAAAAATGTCAGCGTTAACCAATACACTATTTGCAGGTGTCAAAACTATGAACTGGACAGTTTTTTAGTATTTATTTCTGGTCAGTTTCGCTTGCCGCTCACAATTAACTACGTTTCCAGTACAAACTATCTTATTTATGAATGTTAACCATAACATTAAGTTCGAATAATCATTCAGCTACCATCCTTGAATGGAAGATTTTGTTTTCAAATGCAAGATAAATTCAATCATTCAGACAAGAACTACCTATCAGAATTCAATCTCCGTTTTTGTTTGCTTTTTAGCTCACAATCTCTGCAGTGCTTGTCGACAACCTGCAACAGTAGAAGGACTTGTTGACGGATTCTGTCGCTCAACATATGGTAAGCAGCTATAGTTTATTCACTTGTCAGTACTAGTGATTCTTACAGTCATATCCATTTGCCTAATAATTTTTAGTGATGTAATACAATGTTGATAGAGCCATTTCTTATTCTTTATTTTTTGAGCAGATAAATCTGCATATCATTCTCCATGAATTTCACCGACTTATCAAAAAAAGAGAATATAATTGAATTACCAAATTCGATACTTTTGTTTGTGCAGAAGGGGCTTGTTGGAAATACAGGTTGCATGGGGTCAGAGCTATTCACGACATAATTTAAAAAAAAATTCAACACCTTTTCTTTCTCCATTAGTTGATTGCTAGCGCTCTCGAGCGCTAGCAACTACGTTAGTCTATATTTCTGAAATACGCATGCTCGACTTCACGGTCGGGGATTGTTGGAAAACTACTGTAGATAGACTGTACGATAACAATTTCGTTTTGTCATACAAAAATAGAAATGATCCGAATTTACACTGGCCTTTCCTGTCTGATATGCGCGATATACATTTCGTAGATTAGAGACAGTCAATACCAGTCTAGATCCGGATTCTGAATTTTTTTAAATATAATATTGTCTAACCTACACATAAAAGTACAAGAAAAAATTTGGCCATATAATGCCAAGATTCTAGACATCTAGCTTCCCTTACAGTTTTACCACCCTAGTAGATAATTCCGGCAAGCTCGGAAAAAACAATTTTAACAACAACAACGACAAAAATCTTTTTCAGAGTATGTCGAAAAGACATGGCAGTTTAGTGTTTATCATCTGAAAATACATATGATCTGAAGTTTCGTGTTTTGTTGTCTAACCTGCACGTAAATGAACAAAAGTAACAGTATCTCGGCTCTTATAAAACCAAGACTGTTATTTCTAAAGTTGTAATGAATACATAGCTTTTCTAATCTACCTTCATGGATCTTTCCGGCAAGCTCGGAAAACCGCGGCAACCTCGGATATGTTTTCCGAGCTTGCCGGAAAGGCCCGAAGGTGCTCATTTGTTCTACTGACCTTTTATTTTTCACCTCGAAATTGAAATTACAATAAAATACAGAATGCTTAAAGCACAGTTAGGAGTTATGCCATTGCCGACGTGAAGCACACTCTTAGATTCACCATTCTGAATTGTGAACCTCCCCCCCCCCCCAAACTCAACCCCCAGTGCACCAATCTGCCTTCCTATTAATAATTAATCGATTCAGCAAATTAAACAAATGGTTCGGATATCTTCTTATGTATTTTATTATGCTACAGCGCTAGCTCACCAATCTTTTTAAAAGATAAGCTTGTATTTGAATTACATTGTACTATTAGATGAGCATAGTGCTGGCGCAATGTTTACTACATCAAATAGAAAGTCTTCATTACTCTTTCAGAAAATACGGTGTATCAAAAATAGGGATTTTTTTTTCGGATTATTTGATTTTCTGCAAAGCAGGTTCGACAATTAATTGACTATGATTCATTTACAGTGGTCAGAGCTAAGGTAAAACAAATCAAACATCAAAATGAAAAGAAAATATTGGTGTTGGAAAGGAAAAAGAAATTCTTCAAAAAGAATGGACTTTCCAAGAAAGATAAAAAATCGCTTAGTCCATATATTCAAGGCGGAATTCATTGTGACTGTGATCGCATTAATGTCACACTTAACGAAAAGTACATCATTATGGGAAATAATACATCACCGGGAGAATATACCGCCATGTATATAGCAAAATGGCGGAAAGAAAAGGATTTTCGCAAAGCGTTGAAGCTAATGCGTAAAAAGGACATTTGTTCAAAACCACTGGACATAGGAGAAACCGAACATCATGGAAAAGGAAGCAAGGGGAAAGGTGGCAAGAAGGGAAAAGGAAAGAAAGGGAAGAAGGGGAAGAAGGGGAAGAAGGGGAAGGGGAAAAAGGGCAAGAAAGGAAAAGGAAAGAAAGGAAAAGGGAAAAAGGGCAAGAAGGGAAAGGGAAAAAAGGGAAAAGGAAAAAAGAAAGGCCGAAAAAGAAAAGGTAAAAATGGGGGAAAAGGAAAACAAGCGGCAACGCCCCCTTCATAGACTTTGGAGAAGGACATAAATCCAATTTGACCCAGAAATGTCTGTGATAATGGTAATTGAAATTTGACACAAAGTTAAAGATGTGCAATCCGGAATCGTGATTCTAAGGAATCTTAGATGGATACAAGTGTGATTAACTGGTTTTGAATGGATATGAAAGTGCAAAAGCCATGTGATAGAGTTGTATAAATTTGTTTTGTTGTATAGTATCTAGACATTGTGTTTGATATTTTTTGCAAAGGATGTGCAAAAATGCTTCCATTTTCAATACGTTACACTGGCTTTAAAGTATGTGTAGAACAAAAATGAACTGATGCTTTCACTTAATTACTAGTGAACTGTTACTGCACCTCTGACTGCATGTAATTTTGAATTTATGTTCTTTCAGACCAGATTCTATCGATAAACGTAACTCTGAACAAGACTGCTGCAGAGAATTAGTGCTATTTAGACGTCTCTCGGAGTTCATCTAAATAATGTTAAAACAGTGTTCCTTGTGGATAATAACACTGAAATTAATATCCTTTTCTAGGAAATTAATTTCATTTCTTCCTGATACTAGTATTACACTCAAACGAAACAATTATTTAGGTTTAAATTCAAACAAATCCCCCTTTTATTACCTAAATGTTTCAGTAGAATTGTACACTGTTTCCAGCAATAAGATAAAGGAATATACATATACTTGATTATTTTGTTCAAGAAATGTTTTACAAATTGGCATAATATGTTTATGTAAAATACATTTTGTACATTACATAAAGATCCATTTCACAATTTATAAAATAAAATGAATTCAACCATTGTTATGCAAATATAGTCTTATTTCAAGTATCTGCTCGATGACTAAATCAGGTCTTAAAATTCTCAGATTCAGCATGTGTAGTTAACAATCCTTCCATCTATTATTATGGTGAAGAATTCGCAATGCTATTCAGGTTTTGGAATGTACTTATACAGCGCATTTTACATTCTATTATAAACTTCAAATTAAAGTACTGATAGTAAGAGGCAACATAAGATATAAAAATGATTTCAGAGTAATAACCAAAAAGTATTTTAAAGCTTTTTGTGTATCTTCCTTTGTCCTTGACAAAACTTCAAACTCTGGCACTGGCAGTACTATATAATTTGTAAAACTTGTCTTGCATCTTGAAAAGCTTCAATGCTATGTCTTAATGTAAAGGTCAGAATTTTTCTTTGTGTGTGTGACAGAGTCTTTATGCACAGACATGAATGTTCATTTTCCAATGACATTGGACTTGTATTGTGTTAGAGATGTAGACAACATGAACCCTCAATATTTATTTGTAAAATCTTAATACTGACTCAGAAGTAACACTTTTCCGCCAGTGACCTTGAACTCGCTCTTCATTAGGCATGGGAGTTCAGAAAAACTTTCACGCCGTATAAGCACTCTTTGTTTTAATCAAATTGTTTCTCTAAATTTATACTCCTAAGTTTTAATTCAATTTCTTGCAGTCAGATAACATAAACAATGGAAAGAATGGATTTTATAGACCATACCTCCTGACCTTTTCTCCTCATTAGAGAATGGAAGAAATATAATATTTCCTATAACACGACAAATAATTTATGATGAAAGAAGTAAGACCCGTCCTTACACGGATATATATACGGAATCAGAGTCGATTCTAAATTTTGTTGACACATGCAATATTTGTCTCTGTAAACAAGTCAATAAAAATTGTTTCAAATTTATTCGGAAAATATATTAATCAAGAGATTGATATACATGCATTTTTGTTCAGAAGTGATACTTGTATATATGTGACGCAGAGTTTGGATTATTTCTTATACCACATCTCCTGCAGACACCAATGAATTATATTAAAGAGTATATTCATACAATCATAACAAAGAAAATGCAAATGAAGCTCTGATTTTGGTATCCATCCGATTATGCTTAGCTCCACTGAGTATGTAGTCTGCATTCGATAAGAAGTTTAATTAGATGCGTCCCAAATGGGAATATAATTCACTTTAGATATGTAAGGCTTTTTTAGTTATCAAGAATGCAAAATTTTATGGCAATAAACGGTATACATGTAAATGAAAACTTAGAGCTAAAAGGGACTTGGGTTTAAATAATTGTTCAAATCTGCAAATTCGAAGAGGCCACTCCTGGAGAAAGATGTCATTCTGTTAAGGTCAGACGACACGTTCCTCAAAGATATATTTTGTATACCTTGGTATTATATAAAAAGTCTTCAAAATTGTCATTTTCTTGTGATTTCTAAATTGTTTTCAATATGTTTTAAAAAATGAGTACACCAAAAATTGTGATTTTGGCAATTCAAAAGATTACCCTAAAGGATTATATATAAGAAATACAATGTATCACCCTCTGGTATCTTGCTCAAATGCCTGGTAAAGTACCTCAATTTTTGGTGAGGAAAAACTTGTTTAAGTAGTAATACTTCAACGACAAATTCTTGGGAAAAATCATATATTTTCGAGAAACGTGTCAGCTGACCTTAACTACTATGCACTGTTTGTTCGTTTTGGTTGAGATTTTACCTCAGGACTATTGATGGTTTTATTGATTTACATTAACCAAACTCCATTTATTCTACACTATGTATTTAATGTTTTCTATAATACTTTAAAGGATGATGACTTTTATACACATTCCTTAAATATGAGCCACGAATGTACCCGTTACTTTTTATGTTTCAAATGCTTACCATTCTTTTTACTCTGGGCTCTTCTGAATGCTAATATTTCACAAGAATTACAAGGCTTGGAGATTATGAGGTGTTTATTATGATGTCTACACCAGAAATTAGAACGAGGTTACTAAGTCACTGCAAGATAATGAGCCATATTAGATTTTCAGAGTCGTCCAGACGCTTAAAGGAAGCTGTATTCCATATGCCTGAAACGTCAAAACAACTGAAAAATACCCTTGTTAACGTTAGAAATTAAATAATTGTTTTTAGAGGAGAGAAACATTTTTTGTATAATTTCCACGTGTTTTGTATTAACCTATATATTCAACCGTATATCCTTGTTAATGCCAGAAATTCAATTTCTGAGATTCCCCTCTCATTGGATTTAATTTTTAAATTAAACTCACGCACTTTTATAAATTTTCTTCTTCATCTGCACTTTTACGTAGTATTTGCAGTAAATGGTTTTTTTTTTCTAAATTCAGTTCGTTGATGACTTATGATATTATAAAGATAATTGAACTGGGCATGTTGTTTCAAAATGTATTTAGACTGGGAGACGTATTGCATGTTTGGAATTAATTTAAGTTCATGAAATTATTGTTAAAATTAAGTCCGTACTCATTTGATTAAATCTACACCATGTACATGAACATCAAATTTAGTTTGAACTTTCGTAAAATTTTAGAAATGAAAAAAGCATACTCAAAGAAAATAAGCCGTGTTCCAATCTTCAAGATTCGAATATTTTAAAATTAAACAATTTATCGCTGATTGAATCAGTTCTTTCGTGAATTTTATCAGAGAAAGGAATCTATCTATGTTTCTGATTTAATGTATCAAAACCATACATTACCAATTATATGATATTGTTAAAAAATATCAAATTTTTTTTGAAAGAAAAAAATGCAAGGCATCAGTGAAAATCATAAACAGCCCTCCTTTCTATAGGTCCAAGACATTTAATAGGTTTTCAAATTAATTTTTACTATTGCTACTTAACATAATTTCAGATTATGGTGTTTCCAAAACAAGGGAAACATTTGCTGTGTCAACTTTACAATCGTATCACCCGACCAGTGTGACCTAATATTGCTGATATCAGGTATTGTTGAACATATCACAGTACTACCCCAAAAAAAGGTTACATAGTGATTCTGGTATTGAAATTAATCACCTGTTTCTTCAAGAACATGCATTTAGATCTGAAAAAATACATGTACAAGTATGTGAAAAGAATGGAGATATGAAATACTGTCTATCCACTTATTTTTATTAGAAATATAAAATTTGGTGATATGATCCTTTAGAAATAAGATTAAAATTTTGTGTTATGAGAAATTCAAACTACAAAATTTATATTTTAGATAAATATTTGTGGGAAGACAGTAACTTAGATGACAGCCCTTCAAATCAAAATTGCAACTCCCTCATTATAGAGTTAAATATTAACAGTAAAGAAAAAGATCAATATCGATTTTTTAAATCATAAGATAATTCTTTTTTTTTAAAATATAATTTCTTTTTCAAATATGTTTGATAAAAAAAAATTCTACTACAACTATAATAATCACACGCATGTTGTGGAACAATTGTGCCTAAAATCCGTTCATTTTTTCTTACATTCAGGTTCATCGGTCATACTTGGACGAGAAAATCAGCATGAAGAACGAACAGTCTGATAATATACTTTTTGTTCAAAAGACGATTAAATCCTTGATCCTTTTTAGTCGGTGGCAAACGTTTGACAGACTAAGACTGGTGGCAGTGATTGACAGTTGTCAACTGCACTTTTGGTGTGACTAATGACTGGAAAACTCCCTGTGATACGATAGAATTCCATTCTTTTCAAATAAACATCGCTAAAGTGACTCTTAATTAACCCTATTTTAATACCACATTATATTCTGTCTCTAACAATAATCTTTAGCAACTCTCGTCTTTTACAGCATATTACGTTTCAAAAACGATGACATTTACAGAGGGTATTTGAATGGTATCTCTTGCATGGCGCCAGCGATGTTAAAAATTCTGCAGAAAACAACATTTTAATAAATTATGGATCTAACTTCTTAACGCACATAATTCAGCAACGCTAACACTTTCATGATAAACTAAATATCTCAAAGTGATCGCTATCTTAATAATGGTTGACTCAAAGAAAGAAATAAGAAATAAATAAGATTAAGACGTCATGGAATTAAGAAAAGTTAATATATACACCTGGGTTCAGTTTGTTTCGTTATTTTTCAGAAACACATTTTGCAATTAAAAGACTCTCATCACTGTTAAAATGGTACTCAATGAAATTTTCATTTTAATTAGAGAGTTTAAACAGGATATATGCTGCCCCCATGCAAAACAAATACTCGAATGAAAATATAACCATTTGGTTTTCTAGAATCATATTCTGTTGGCTTGATTCACAATGCTTGAAAATAAAATATTAAAGTTAACGATAGATGAATTGCGAAATGATAAGATGTATACTGAAGGTATGCAAGGTATTGTATAAAAAACTGTCTATCATTCGTCCTAGTGAGGTTTACCATATGGGCATGCAATTTACATCTACAGCTCGCCGGGCTAATTAAAAAGCCTGCATCCGTTACATCATTGCAGTTTGAAAAAACATAAACTCCGCAGGTGTCGAACGAATGCCATATGGTTAGTTCGTGCTAGTTGTCTTTTGCATCTCCATCGCTGTGTTGGTGCCGCCCCTAATTTACGTCAGTGACAATTAAAACAACATATATATGATTACGCCACATAGTTGTTAGCCGGAAATGTGAGATGCGTCACTTCCGATTAGAAATAATACTTTTTGTATATGCACAGAGGCCAGGAAGCAATGTCATTCCAAAGACATATGATGTGCTTTGTGATAGGAATTCTCGCAGATGAATGGAGATAATGGAAAAATCTTTTGAAGTACTCAGTTTCCGAGATAATTTAAAACTGTAAATTCACTGAATATGATAGAAAAAAACTTTTGTTAAAAGTAAACTAGATTTAAAGAATGCTCTTTTGTAAAGAAAAGAAACAATATAAATTGATTATCTCCATCGCTGTGTTTAGTAAAGGCTAAATTAGACACCATATGTTGTGTAAAATTT